GAGAATTCTGGGAGTTGAAGTCCACAAGTCTTAAAGTTGCCAAGTTTGGGGACCCCTGCTTTAAGGCAAGGGTCTTCAAACTTGGCAAGTTTAAGACTTGTGGACTTCAACTCCCAGAATTCCAGAGCTAACCTGACTGCAGAAGGAATTCTGGGAGTTGAAGTCCACAAGTCTTACAGCTGTCAAGTTTGAAGACCCCTGCTCTAAAGGCCTCCTGAGAGCAACTTCTGGGCAGGTTCGACACTCAAAGACAGTTAAAAGCCAGTCCTACCTTGCAAGCACAGAAAGAATCATTAATGGACGTTGAAAGAGGAGAAGGACAGCGAAGATCAGAGAAGGAGAGGAAGATCTTTTTCCCTTCCTGGTGTATAAGCTCAGTCTACCTTAGGTCCATCGGATCTGGGCCAATGTTCCACCTGGAGATTCAAGGAACTGTCAAGAGGCTTGGAAGAGCCGCCTCTCCATAAAGCCACTATGGAATTGAAAAGTTAAGACCGGATCAGACGAAGATGAAGAAGGAAAGGCGGAGGAGGAGGAAGGGCGGAGGGACCCAGGTAGAGATTTTTAGCTTGGTGGTTTTTTTGTTTTCCATTAGCTGGGCTTCCTACAGTTTGGAAAGAGGGAAGATGAGAGAGGAAAAGAGAGAGACCACGTTGGAGAGCCCTTCCAGGCAAGCTGTCCAACTCATTGTCTTCGGAGGTCCCCCCAAAATCCATCGGCATTTAAGGCCGCCCCATCCGGGAGGGCGATGGAAGGGAAACAGGAGGGTGGGGGCAGATCTGGGTGCGTTCCGACCATTCATTGCAAGCCGCTCCGCGAGCTTCCACCCCCCACCCCACCCACCCCCGCCACCATCCAGGCGAAATCTTGAATTAATTTTAAGCGGGAGCCGGGAAGCCAGCCAGGGCGACGCTTCCTGCCGTTCGGGCGGCGGGCGCCCCGCCTCGCCGGCCGAGATCGGGGGAGTGCAAAACGCCCGGAGGAAAGGAAGGGGAAGAGAGTCTCGTAGCATACATAGCGCTGTGGGGCAGCAGACCCCGCGCGATGCAGGAGAAAGGGGGAAGGGGGTGCCGCCCTGGCAGACGTGGAAGGCAAAGCGGTAGCCGGGCTGGCTCCACCCTCGTCCGCCCGTCCTCCAGCCTTGCCTTATACGGGCAAAAGGCATATCAGGCGGCGACGGCGGCGGTCTGGCCGGGTTGGGATGTGAGGAAGAGAGGAAGGCAGGCGAGGCGAGGAAGCGGAGGAGGGGAGGCAGAGCCAGAGGGAGCGCGGGGGGCCCCGGCAAGGGAGGCCGTCCCGTCCGAGGCTTTTTGTTTTTCTCTCCCCCGCCCCGCCGTCGATGCTCACTTTCTCGCGCAGCTCCCGCTCCTGATCGCGCTGGCGTTGCAAGACTTGGGCGCGGTCCTCGGCCTCGTCGGCTTCTTGCTGCAGCGCCTGGATCTTGCGCTTCACCGCCTCCAGCGATCCTGTAGTGGCTGCCATCCTATAGCTTGCGGTGGTGGGTCGAGACGGATCCGGTCCCAAAAGAAGGGGCTGCGGAGAGCTACACGTGGGCCGCGGTGGCAGCGGCGGCGGCGGCGGCAAGGATGCGGCTCCGGTGCTGGCGGGAGGAAAGCAGCTGGGGAGGGGTCTTGACGTCATCAACCGCTGGAGGGCGGGGCCGTGACGTGGCCACCGCTGGCCCCAGCCAAGGCGAACCCGCTCTGCAGCCCTTTCGGGAGAGCGAGGTGGGGGCGGGAAAAACGGCTGGGCGGCTCCTGGCATCCTTTGTTGGCCCGATCCTTTGGCGAGGCTTCGAGACGTCTGCTGAGTGGCTGCCCCACCTGGACGTGCTGGGAGGGACTTTGGTGCCGGCTGGGAATTTTGGGATTAGGCGAGATTGGAGACGGGATCATGGCGCTTTGTCTGCCTCAGCGCCGTTAAGTCTAGCGAGGGTTCCCGCGCTCGGCCGGTGGCTCGTTCAAAGCCCGACTGAGAAAGAAAACCGAGTTTCTGCACCAACCGAGGGCGCGTTCATACATTCCAACTCTCTATGAAAGAGGTTTCCAAACTTGGCCACTTTAAGACTTGTGGACTTCAACTCCCAGAGTCCACAAGTCTTAAAGTGGCCAAGTTTGGGGACCCCTGCTCCATAATGTAGATATGATGAGATCAGGGAACTATGTGGTGGTCGAACTAACTCCAAGCAAGGTTTATACAAACCCCTGGTGTGGCAGGGTACGATGCCTCGGAAACAAATCAAGATCAGGCTAATTGGGAGATCAAATTCCCTTGGAATGGCAGCCATAGCTTGTGCTTAGCATAACCTGCTTCAACTGGTTCCTTTGAATACACAGTATACTGAAGCATAAATCAACCAAATAGTCTAGATGTTAATAACACGTTAAATTGCAAAAGAAAAGGAAGCTTAGTGGGTGCACAAATACGCCTACTAGGAGGTTTGTGACAACTGGTTAAGCAAATGTGAACACAGCCCTAATTGGAAGCTGTAGAGCTGGCTCTGGGATCACCTTCCTAAATTCCTTAATCTCACAGCACATGGACAAGCTCAACCAGAGTTTCAACTGGGAAATAGCACCTGAGACCAAGCTAAATCCACAGAGGTTATGAAAATTCAGGAAGTTTGTATTTCAGACAAATTAACCATCACATAAACTACCTTTACATACTTCAAAATAAACAATACAAAAGTTAAGGAAACCAAAAGACCGGAATACATTCTCTTCTGTAGCCAACACCCGGATAAGCAGGGATTAACCCCAAGCAAACATCAAACAGAAAATAATATGTTAATCAAGAAACTACCAAGTAGCAAACTACACCCTCACCAACATTAGGGCAAGCTACTTCATATAAAGAGGAAACTCCACACCCTTTTACATGGATGAGGTTACCTTGTTGCATAAAGATTCACCTGCAAGCAAATAACCAGAGAGCCCAAGGACGCCACTGTTCAACCCTGAGCTATAAGTGTTCTGTTGTAGTGGCATCTTCCTTTTGTCCCTCACTTAGTGGCACTATGCTCCTGTGCTGAGGGAATGTTCACCTTTGAAGTTACTCATGAAGGTTGGTTCAATACATCCGGGTCAAAAAAGCAATTGTGGACTTTTGCTCCCACAAATAAGGAGCCTTCAAAGGGTCTGTATTAAGCCTGCTCTGTGTGACTAGAAAAAGCGAGCGGGTGGGACCAAGGCAGGGATCCTTGTATAGCAAAGAAAGCATGGAAGAGTAGACTTCCTCCCACCAACTCAGTGTGGCTAAATAGATTTTTTCCGCTTTGGTCTACATATGCAGAATTCAGATAACAGATAATCAGAGTTGGAAGGGACCTTGTAGGTCACCTAGATTCTAATCCAACTCCCTGCCCAAGTGGGAGACCCTATACCATTTCTGACAAATGGCAGTCCAATCTCTTCTTGAAGGTCTCAAGTGATGGCGCTCCCACAACTTCCGAGGGCAAGCTGTTCCATTGGTTGATTGTTCTTGTTAAGTGTCCATCCATTATTCCTTGTCTGGCCTGCAGGTGCTTTAGAAAATAGCTGGACCCCTTCCGCTCTGTGGCAGCCTCTCAAATATTGGAAGATCGCTATCATGTCTCCCCTAGTCCTTCTCTTTACTAGACTAGCCAAGCCCAGTTCCTGCAACCATTTGTTGTATGTTTTAGTCTCCAGTCCCCTAATCATCCTGGTTGCTCTTCTCTGTACTTTTTCTAGAGTCTCAACATCTTTTTTATAATGTGGTGAGCAAAACTGGATGCAGTACTCTAGGTGTGGTCTTACTAAGGCTTTATACAGTGGTATTAATACCTCCCTTGATCTTGATTGTATCCCTCTGTAAATACAACTTAGGATTGCATTAGCTTTTTTGGCAGCTGCTGCACACTGCTGGCTCATACTTAGCTGATTGTCCACTAAGACTCCAAGATCCCTCTCACAGCTACTTCTATTGAGCCTGGTTTCACCCAGTCTATATGTATACATTTGGTCTAATGCAGGGATTCCCCAACTCCTGGGCCACGGACCACTAACAGGCTGTGATCCTTTCAGAACCAGGCCATGGAAGTGGTGGATGAGCGCACCTCCCCTTGCTCAAGTGACCACATGCGCATGCACTTGCCCCTCGCACACCTGAGACCATCCCCTCTCACCCCCCACCCCCGCAAAGCTGAAAAGGTTGGGGAAGTCTGGTCTAGTGGTTAAGGCACCAGGCTAGAAAGTGGGAATCTAAATTCTAGTCCTGCCTTAACCATGAAAGCCAGCTTGGTGACTTTGGGCCTCTTTCTTTCTTTCTTTCTTTCTTTCTTTCTTTCTTTCTTTCTTTCTTTCTTTCTTTCTTTCTTTCTTTCTTTC